GTCATAAGTGTTATTCCATGAAAGTAATCACTTGCCGGGGCAGGAGGGAGACCACGGAACAGGAGGAAGGAGGACGAAGAGTAAGACGCGGAAACGAGGCTGCATTTGATTATTCACTTTGTAACCTCAATCCGATTCAACTGAGCTTTCGATTTTACTGAGTGCCCTGGTAACAAGGATAAAACAAGAATTCATTATTTCCTAAATAAAATTTAATAAGAAATGTGGAGGGAGTTCCACATTCTGAGGATGTGTGCGTGTATATGTGTGTGTGCGCGTGTGTGTTTGTGTATATGTGCATGCATGTGTATGTGCGTATTTCTTTGTGTATGTACGTGTACATGCGTGTGTGCGTATATGTGCGCGTGTTTTTTTGTGTATGGGTATATGCATGTGTGCGTGCACAAGTGTATGTTCGTGTATATGTGTGTGTTTGTATTTGCGTGTATGTGTACATGTATTTGTACGTATTTACGTATGTATAAGTGCTGACATAAGTATGTGCGTCTATTTTTACATGTGATGCTTTTTTTATGTGTTTATGTGCAGATATGTGTGTGAAAATATGAGTGTGCGTGTTTGCGTCTGTCTGCGCATGTGCTTCAGTTTGTGGGAGAAGGGAGATCCGTTCAAGGAATGTCTCCAGCCTAAATACTTCATAAACCTATCAAATTCAGCTTCCAGTCATACGTGGTTCTCAAGTACGGCCTTGTGAAATTTTTTTGCGGGAAAAAGGCTAACTCGGAAGGCAGGAAAGCTGGAGGGCTGAAATTTTGAAGGGATGTCTCCAGCCTATGCACAAAAAAATTCCAAAACCACCTCCTAGCTACGCTCTCTAGTCATTTGCGACTCTGTGAAAATTTTGACGAGAAAATTGCTAACTCGGGCCAAAAAAGCGGAAAGCTGGGATTTTAGAAGAATATTCCCAGTCCAAATACAACTCAAAGGTTCCAAATTCAACCTTCATGTACGCGTGCTTCTCGTGTATGGGCACTTAAATTGTTGGCTGTTTGAACAGCTGGGTCATTTTCAAAAAATGACCGCTAAACGGAAATTGTTTATTTTCTTTTGTGCAATATTTACGATGATTTACGGTATTGAGCATACAAAGTAGATGTGAAGAAACAACCGTTCATGCAATTAACCTAATTACTTCAAGTTTGGTGCAAAAACCCATGATCGCACTGGTTCCCTGGAGCTTTCCAGCCTGGGTTCAGTTTCATGAAATCCCCACACCGATTCTCCAGGCGGTCTTAGTAGTCTGGTCTGCAATGAAACAAATGTGCTTTGCTTGCCCGACAATTTGTCAAAAATAATGATGAGAATTTGCAATAACGTGCTTTTGGTATTCAGTAACGCCGACATGCGAGCAGCAAGCGATTAGAGTGATTTTGGCTTTTAATGGGGACGAATGGCCGGAGGCACGATTCGAGGACTGGATTATCGTCGGAACGAATAATCGCGCTGAGTGCCGATTGCAGGGCAATGGCGAGTTGCAATATGTCGTCGAGTTGGCTGTTTTCAATGATCCATGCCAAACTGAAATGGTCAGGATTTAGCTTTTTTAATTTTCAGCAGTAAATCCGACCTCCCACCCCCTGTGCCCCAATCCTTTCCTGAAAACGGCCATTTGCAGAGGATAGATTGCAGGAGACAATTGCTGTTGTATTTTCGAATCATTAAACCCACAAAGATACTCGATGCGGAGAAGTACTTTGCTACAGTTTTAGCCTAAGTTATCACTCATGACAGAAAGACTACAGATAGACGGTGTTGAATTAGAAGAGGTTGATCGTTATGTATATCTA